TTCGTGACGTCCTTGACATAACTGGAATACAGGTTCCCTTATCAACGCATTAGGTGCACGTCATCCTATACCCCTGAAAGGCAAACCGCACACCCACCTCCGTGGATCTTAGCCCTTGCCGTATGGGGGAAATGGGTCCGCAGCTGCTATAGCGAGCCATTTTCCGTGCTCAAAGTGGTCGGGGATGGGGCTGGAGGGTTGTGATACAGGGTGCCGTATACGCCGCACGGCTAGCCGCACTCCCAACCGTAGCTAAACGCACTATTTGTCTGCACCCTCTCATTTCTAGTTGTTCTTTGCCACTAAGTGCGTGTTTCGCTGCGACATCTTCATAACGACGCAAGTGCTGCTTTTCGAACATAGCCGGGCGCATTATGGAGACGGCATATCGCTACCCTACAGCCCCCTACCTGTGCACTTCCGAGAGCACGAAGTGGTACGCTACTGCAGCTGCATACCCACTCATTCCGCACATGGAAGTATGTGTACAGCTTGTCTTTATCAGATGACGGACCTGTGCTACAACTGCCCATCTAACAGTAGGTACATCAGTTATGTAACAGTTCCGGATGGCTAAGTGCGAACATTTTCAGGCTTTCCGCATGGCAATCGGACCTCCGTTCAATCTACGACGTCATGGCATTGAACTCGCTTCATCAAGTTGTCCTCGAGCCGTTTACCGTTCCACTTCTGCCTGAAACAGCATTCATCCACTCACCGCTATTCCCAATATCTAATCAGTCGTCGATCACTTCCATTGTGAGAACTGAGATATTCAATGAGGAGAGAGGGGCACCATGAACTCTCGACAAGCCCTCTTCTTTGGGACTTAAAGGCAGTTGGCACGATAAATCCCCCAAGACGACTAGGATCAATACTCCTGGCAGGATAGAATTCCGCGACCCTGGGCAGGCGCTGCATAGCGGTTTCCCCGAGGAAGGTGCCCTTATAAGGGCCCTATCAAGCCACAACTTTACGTCCCAAACGCCCGCCACGCCCGCCCGCCCACAAATGGACGACCGTTCCTGACGCTCGTATTCATTCATTTGCTAAGCAAATTATGAGAAGCAGGGAATTTGGTATGCTGATGCTGCATGCATACGAGGGCGGTACACATAATTGCAGCCCGCCTATCTTCGGTACGGTGGCTGATTGCTAAGTGCCTATGGGAAACCCATCCAGAAAATCGATTTTCACGGTCACTGGAGACGGAGCTTTCTCCTCACAGTGATTCTTTGACAATTCACTCCTTTCTTGGCGCCATTTCCCACGTATTTACAGCGCCCTACGTAGCCATCTAAGGGCTAAATAGGAAAAACCCTCAGATGGCAGCTGTCCTTATAATGTTAGACGTTTCACAAAGTCGCCTTCATTGATGCAACAGGATATGTGCTGGAATGCCAGTTCGCTGCGTGATGACGGGGCATGTTCACTGTGAGCTATGTGCTGAAACGCCAGCTCGTTATATAGATGACAGCAATGCCGTGCGGAAATGCACTGCATCTCATCGCGTGTCGGGATCGCCCAAAGAAAGTAGTTAAGAAAAACGGAGCTGGTGCGCCGCAATCCCATCCCGCTTTAACATATCCTCTCTATCGCATAGCGCGAACATAGACTACACCCTCTTCCAGAAGTCACACGGGCTCCTGAAAACGCCTGCTGGCCTGCGCTTGGCGAGCGAGTTGATAACATCACTCTAACTTAAAACACGGCAATTCCCGCGGCAAATTTGTCGCCTAGACTGTAATCTACAGGTAGTTTGCACTCGCATAAACAAAAACTTCACAACACTTAAATAGTTGGAGCCCGCTCAGGCAGACCTACCTGCGCTTGTCTCGCTAGTAAAAAGTCGATTCTCGATGAAACTCAGATCGACTCTCTTGTAGACGCGGAGCGGCCTGGCGTTTTGGAGCCCTATTCCGTGTGCATATTCGCTTTCGCTCGAATTGCACCTAGCCCTTCCCGGAAATGCGCATCGAGGAGAATCTACCGCCAGTGACAAGATACATGAAACCCGGGTATTCGTACGAGTAGCCGATATGTATCGTGGTGAAATGTGGAAAAAGAGCTATCGTATCAATGCGCGTTCTTCGCCGATTAGTCGCAGAAGCGTGTCAGCGATGGAAGAACTGCAGCTTACCTCGCGGTGCCCTTTATACCCCAATTGATGATCAGCTAGTTATCGACATCAGTTCAGACAAACAGCCGATATTGTGTTGAGATGGCTGGCCTCTTCAAGCTTAATTAACACCACTCCCGCTGATTGCGAGAATCTAGCTGTAATGCCCAGCGGTGTTTATGCGATGAATTTCGGGAGAAAGCTACGTATGGCAAAAATCAGGGACACAACTACAAAAACTCATTCTCGGTGTTCCTCATGCGGCGAACATTTCCAGGATACTATCATTCGGCGATGGGAGAGCTCGGGATTGATGCGATCAAAAATTCTGCTGCAAATCCCGTCCTATGGAATGGAACAACTGCTGGTAAACCGTTCAGACGTCGGCATTGGAAGACCTACGGAGAAAGAGTACGCTGTTATAGGACAAGCAGAGGTGAGTTGTTGCTCAGACATGGCACACATCATCCCAACGAAGACTGAGTCACTTACTATGTAATAGTGAATTATGCCATTGTGGAAAGCGCAGCAGGAATACTGCCAATCGGCTTTAATGACCACTTTGTAGGATACTTGTTTCAGTTGTGTCAACGTCTCAAGTATGCAGGAACAGTTCGAGAAACCCATTGGGATTCGATGAGCGTAAATGCATGGACGACTGGAGGAAGGTGGATTAGCATCGACGACCAGCATACAGTCAAATACAAGGTAAGTGCTGGAATTGTCCTTGTGGAGCCCTTCTAACGTAATGGACAGACGTAGTTCTGACTAAAGTCAACAGTGATGTACGTCATCACTATATAAAGTTACCGCGACTGCAGTCCTGTTGAATCTTCACCTTCATACCAATAGGTGGAATCCGTCCCGTGCGGGTAGTGTCAGGGTCTACTTTCCAAAACTAGAGAAATTATGGGTCAATGTTAATATTCACAGCTGAAGCTCTAGTCGTGATGGCCATCTCGAACCCGATTTCACCTCATTCCAATTTTTCTTCTAATGACGACTTTTCAGTCTCTACTTCACTACAAACTCATTGCCGCTCATACCGGCAATCGCCAAGTGCGTCTTCTCGCTGCAGAATGTAGCATTTCGCGAGTTTGCTCAATTACTGCATTAAGGTCCCTTTGATATGCCGCCTCAATACTGAGGTAAGGTCCCTTTGATATGCCGCATCTATTTAGATTGTTCGAAAATAACTGGGACAACTTTGAATTGAATTTGTTCTAGAAAAAGCCAAATCATTTTGGATGTTTTTATCCCTGATTAGTGGAGTGTGTCCCCTGGGGTTTCTGCACATGGGTATATCATGACTTTGTGGAAGTTTTCAAAGCTTAAAAGTCCCGCAGAGATCGAGGTACTTTTCGACCTATCCCATATTATGAGTTCCTGTAGGGCAACTCCGCCGTAATCGAGGAAGCTAACACTTACGTTGTCTTGAGGAAGGAGATCGCTTGCCATGAAAGAGGGTAGCTGTTGCATCAGCGCTTCCAGGCTGGACTTATTTAACTCGTAGTTAGGCAATGTGTAGGTCGCCCACCAGCACAGAATGACGACCCTTTACTCAAGCTTCTTGAGCCGCAGCCGAAGGTAACCACCAGTAAGTTGGCAACCTCTCTAGGCTCCACCTGCCTGACAACTTCCGTGCTTCTCCGCAATCTCGTTATCGGAAAAATTCTATGTGAAGGATGCCTCATGAGTTGGACCCGTCTGACAAGTCATACCGAATGACCGCATGTGGGAATCAGGCCACGTCAAAAAATCATGAATTTTGATCAGAGAATGCGACCGTACCCAGGTTATTCAGCAAAGTTAGCGGCCTCTAATTATCACCTCTTTTGGTCCCTATTGCATCCTTTGAAGAGCAAAAAGCCCGAAAATCGACCTCAACTCGAGAATGAGGTCCACCTCTTCTTTTTATCACAGTTGCCGTAGTTCTATGAGAATGGAAATGAGAAGCTGTGCAAAAGAAGGGGACTAGTCCTAGTCATCAACTATGGTTACCTTGTGGATTGGAGATGTCTTTGGGTGACAGAAAATTTAGTGCGAAAAATTTGGTCCAAAGTGTCGCAGGACTTTTCGAACAACCTAATTATAATTCACATCACCGCAATTGTCGGGTCGCAATCAGCGGTTCTCACCTGCGGCGTTTCCATCATTGGTTGTTTCCTTCCTAAATCGATCTCTACCCGATCGCCATTGGTAGAGCAAGGGAGCCGAACGCGGGCTCGAACCGCGCTGCTCACGCCGCCTCCGACAGTCCGCAATGATGAGAACTGTACATTCCATTCAGAAACGCACCCATATGACTGCTCATACTTTGGCCCTGTAACTTTCAAGCGCTTCAACTTTCAGTCAATGTATCGGATGAGAATGATATCGATTAACGGGAGAGACGGAAATGGTTCACCAGACTGGATCGTGACTCTGTCCCCCCACGTGTGGTCGCACCTCCTGTCAGTGCAAACCCAGGGGAAGCCAAGGGTTTTTTAGCGCACCACCCCGCACTGAGTCTTCTCATTTTTTTGAACACAGCAGCTCCCTCTCCACCACCCTTTTCCAAGCATAGCGATTGTTCAGCCTGCATTCGGTAGTGTTTTACCCCGTTCTCATCAGAATAGTCCGATTCAAAGACAAACTCCATGAAAATCAGATGGGCGAAGACTCACAACCACTGGGTGCTCCTCGTTGGCGTATCGCAGTCTGAGGTAGGGCCTACCAAAAAGGAAGGCACAGTAGTTGTGTTTCTGCCGCCAAGTGTGTTTCTAATGAAGGCACCCTGGTAAGTTGCTCATGACATGCTTCCAAACGATCACAAATTCAGATGCGATATTCACTGCGAGAAGGACTAGCTGGCGTTGGTCTGATGTCGTTGAACGAAGACGATCACATGGGCAAGTGTGGATCCGGAGCCTTCCCAATATTGCGTTCAATTACTGCGAAATGTCATTGATTTATTATTTAATAAATTTTTGATGGCTGAGCATTCATTTTATATTGTATTTCAATGTCCTTACACAGCAGATGATTCCTCTGTACCAATGGCTTTATCATAGACTATAGAACATACAAACAAAACAGAAAAAAACAATTCAAAAAAAACAGGATCTTCAGAACACGTAGGAAATAAGAGATCGAAAATTTCTATACACCGGAAACAGAATTAGTTAAAGTTGGATTTGGATGAAGCTTTAAGCCAACGTCTAGCAGACTATAGTGAAAATCATTTATAGCTTCATTTGCAGAAATACTACTCCGTGGCCCAGAGATGGTGTGGGCGTGGCTGCGTACTTCATTCATTCATGGTATAGGACCTGTCATTCGCAAAATATTTCCTTTTTGAGACAACCGCTATCCTCTATTGGGCTGGACAAGGACATAATCACAAATATCCTCAAACGGTAATATCCCACCAAGAGGGCAACCAAAGCCACATTTGGACGACGTACGCAGCTACACCCTTTCCATCTCCAGGATATGGGGTGATAAATAGCTGGGATCAATTGTCAGAAACATCGCTATGCGCAGGGGAAGCCTGTTCCGTGGAGGTGCCAAACGGACAGAAACTGTTCTGCTCTTCCATTTCGACTTCTGGTACAGACGTAAGTTGCTTCTCTGAAAAGCAGGGTAAGAACGTGAGGCTCGATTGCAGACAGAAGAACCTCACAATCATCGCCTCTGCTATCCAAATTCTTAGCCCGCTGTACCATCCCCTTTAGCAGGTGACTGCTTGGTCTTGATGCGGCTTCACCTGCTGAAAGTGAGGTGCGCGTTCGAGTCCCGTCAAGACTGTTGCCCAATATTCAGGTGAGCTTCCTAAGATAATTCGATAACGGTGAGCAATACCTTGGAACTGAAGAGATCTCCGTTTCTTGGCCTCTTTCCGTCGCTGATAACGAGTCTTCTTCGCTCCTATCTGCGATTTATCCCCGCCCTGAAAATGGACTCTTTAGAAGAGAAATAAGTTGCAAGATAGTACAGACACACTGGAAGCATTGTTTCTTGGCTGAAAAACTTGGTCCCGCAGGCTCACTTGTTAAAAAGTTATGGATCATTACCGATCAATGGTAATTAGTATACGCCCCGCGTATCACTTCGCACTTTCATACAAAACAGCGACAGTCCCTCGGTACCTTTCGAATGCTTGTTTCACTCTACCCTTATCCTAATGGAGTCCGAGCAGATACTCCCCCGGACACGTATGAGCTAGAAACATCAACTGTCAATGTCTCACCATCAACTATTTCATTATTTGAAACATTATGGCTCGAACGATACAACGCATCAAATCTAGAATTGGACAGTCCTGCCATTGGGGGAAAATTTTGCAAAACACGATCCCCTTCAATAGCTCTGGTACGCCCCCTCCCCCATACGCCAACCCACATGTCCCTTCCTGAACTTTCAACCACCACATTTCCGAAGTTTGTTTTTCAGAAACTCTCCGCTTACTTCCCAAAAAACGACTGCCGCCGAGCGGTTGAACATGCACAAGAACCCAATCTCAAAAGAAACTTGGGAGTCCCTGGTAGATTTTCAATATTTCGGTGTCTGGCACATTCTTCAGCGACTTGAGTCTGCTTGCAGTTGCGGTGTAGCCACACCTAGGGGTACCTCGCCTCGTATGAAGCCGTGCGGGTAGCCACACCAGTACTGCAGGTGTTACGACTTAATTCTTCCCACGAGACTGGTGGTGGTAGTAAATAGGGGCAGCCCCAGGTCGCTCAAGAACGCGAAGACACCAAAATGTTGAAAAACAAGGGGAATTTCGAAAAGCTATTAGAAAATTTTGAACCCTAAACAGTAAGGCTTAAGGGACCTATTTAATTTTTTACAACCTTTGAGATGTCGTCTGAGGCAGTGAGACAGCACAATAATCAAGTTAGGAGCTATCGCTTCTTTCGATGAATAGTGTGCATTAGTTGATTAGAATCTGATTTAAATCTTACAGATTATTGCACTTTGTTCGATTTTGGTTTTTCATGCGAACGACTGCGCAGCTTGAGCGCAATAAACAATTGAAACAATCAGAAAACTGTCAATGGAGGCCTTGCCTGCCTGACTTACCATGGGCATAGAGCCTTTTTGTAAGGGCGTACGTGCTGGTTTGAGGATCTTGCTATCCGGAGCCACATAACAACCAGGAGCACGACTCTGCACTACCTAGAAAACTTACACATAATCCGCGAAATGCACAAGCCAGACAGAAAAAACATCTACAATCTATCGGAATCCACCTAAACAACGCCTTCTTTTCGTCACTGAAGAAACACTGAGCGCCCGTACAAGAGACCAGAAAAAACTATGAACAAAACAAGAAGAACAACAACTAATTTTCCGGAATGCTCCTTTCTCCACATAGCTCTTGTTTCCCTTTTTTATCGTTTGAGCTCTAGCATATAAAAGCTTCATCGTATAAAGCTTGCGTGAGGTCAGCAGGAAACGAGAGAATATAAGGGCCATTCCATCCATACCTGCCATTGTAATGGTATCATCGGTTCCAGTCCATTGAAGACATCGCGAATTCGTAAAGACGGTTTAGCGTCTGGAACTTTCTCTTGCTCGCAGTCCAGAACATCGCTCCTATAACACCGTGCTGTGAATAAGAATAAAACCCGACCTCATGTGCATAAACATAACGCATGCTACAGTCCTTACCACTAAAATCAGTCGGGTTGTGTCAGCGGGGTATGGGCTTTTGGCACAGTGCCACCTCCTTTCCCATCGATTGTAACGGGTGTTCAATAAGTAGAGGGATGGGGTGACGCCATGTCAAAAACAATAGCGCCGCTTACACGCCCCGACCGACTTCAGTGGTAACGACTGTACTTATGCTTAATCTCCTGAGGTCTCACATGCGCCACTGTGGAGTGAAACCAACAGTGTTCACTTAGTGGTTCATAACATATGTCCAATAACTATTGTTCAACGTATTAGGCTGGATCAGATAACAGCTATATGAAGTTGTCTAACAAGCAAAATAAAGAAAACCCAACAATTCAATTCGCTAGTGAGGAAAGACCATCACCATTACCTACCCATTCACTCGCGAGGCAAAAAACTCCTCATTGTACATTCGTATGCCTTACAAAAAATATCTTTAAAAAACAGTGCATAACTTTACAGTGCGGGAAGGACGCATCTTAACACTTCAACCTGATCCAACCCCTTTAACATCCATTGTCATATGGTTCTGTGTGGAAGAACTAAGATGTCACCGGAGGGCTAATGCCGTTTCGGACTCCAGAAATTTCGGCTGCCTAAGTCACCAAATCCGCTAAAAACTTGTATATAGGGGTAGTTTAACATCCTGATTACGAATATGACATTCACTCTTGTCGCTGGCGCTAATGGATGACACTACGATTACCTCCTGGGCTCAGCCTTAGCAGAGCGCAGATAATCGTAGTGTCATCCATTAGCGCCAGCGACAAGAGTGAATGTCATATCAGGATGTTAAACTACCCCTATATACAAGTTTTTAGCGGATTTGGTGACTTAGGCAATTTAAAAATGAGCTCGGTGCCGAAATTTCTGGAGTCCAAACGGCATTAGCCTCACCGGAGTACGCAGATGGGAAAACGCAAAAAAGCACTAATTACAAGGTGGCTAGAAGTATGGGGCACAAGGATGTTCCTCCTTTGAAAGTGCGCACTTTTCCCAACCACTTCCCATCTGGAACTACAACAGCAGATCTTGAAGTGTGCACGATTGCTGAAGATGGGTGGTTGTTGCCAGCGTCATTGTTGAAAGGGCCTGAGGGGGCGTTTGGCCACACCCCACCTAGCCCTTCCGCCAATGGCATTGGCAACAAGGCCGGCCCGAAACCGTGTTCACTGCACTTGAGTAGCAAATTGTACCAGAAGCCCAAATGCGTTCAAGATATCCGCTCTCAGCTACGGCACAGGGTTTCAAACTCGAGATGACGGTGCCGACGTCGCGCCAGCAGGTGCCTTTTCTCTCTGCGGTCGGAGCGATGGTGAATTCACGTAAAGACTGTCTACTGTGCGTTCTTCCTACTCGATTTCTCTTCTACAAAGTCATTCAAAAACTTCTAGTGGCTATAGGTCCGAGCTGTTGGTAAGGAATTAGTCTTTGTTGACGAAACCCGGGACACTGCGAGCAAGAAGCGCCATGGTCTATACCCTCCGAATCATAGGCAGGCCTAAGCTGTTCAGAATAGCATCTGGCGGGTTGTTTTTCCGGCAGCTAGCCTCGAGTATCTTCGGGGTTCTTTTTGATTGGCTTAAACACTAGTTTTGACTTCGCCATCGATATGAACAGGAGTATCAGCTGGTCTTCCCTTTTGAACCGTTCCTCCTCTAGGGTTTTTTGAGCCGTAGTTATTAGATGGTTTACCCGTGAAAAGTTCTTCATTTCACGACGACAATTCCTTCGCTGCACTTCAGCACTTCGTTGCACCTCGCACGCTTTTTCATTTGTCTAGTATGTAAACTTTCGGATGACAACCAGTGGGCGTCGTCGCGTGCGGCGTGTCTTGCGGCGATGCGCGGCAAACCCCAGACGTGCATCAGTTTGTCAGATGGAGCAGCAGAATTCGTATAAATCCAAGCGGACCACATGAAGGGCGCCATCCAATTTCCTCATCTCTTTGATTTCAAATTCATGCGGCCAGACAGGACAAGTCATCTACACGGTCTCGCTCCCACGCCCACCGGCGAAAATTTTACGATTGTCTTGTCACTCCTAGAAGCGGAGCTCCTCTGCTCGAACTGTTCACGTTGCTCGTTCGCTCACGCCGTTTACTAACGATCGTACGAAAAAAAAAAATCGAAAACGCTATATGTCATTAGAAAGCAAAGAAAAAACGCTGAAAAATTGTTGTTTTATGATGACTGCTGTTTTACGCCGCAGTACGCGTTCCGAAAGTTATCACAAGAATGCTGAGTTATGGGCAAAAGTCGTGCCCCAGGCGGGAGTCGAACCCGCACCTCACGCTTTCCGGGCGAGTGCGCTATCCGTCACGCCGACGTGAAGCGTGGGTTCGACTCCCGCCTGGAGCACGACTTTTGCCCATAACTCTTGTGATAGCTACAGAATTGTTCTCACGACGAAACAGCTGGTAAGATTTGTAGGAAGGAAAAACTCGGGAAATGTTTCTGCACACCCACTTTTAAACCATCCTGTCATCCCACATAACGGATGACATCGCAAACTTACACGCTCATATTCTCTTTCAGCTGAGGCAGAATTTTAACAACGCCATCATTCCTGTTGACGAGCATGTAATCACCATGAGGAAGATGACTAACTTCTTCGAGTAGTCGAGCGAAACGGGAAGTGTACGCAGACATCCTAAAAATGAAGATCACTTGAAATTAAGCACTCCTTGAACATACAAAACAGCGTACATCCTTTTCGCGTCCTGCCGATGGGTAGGTCCAGTCCATTGTTGTTCACTTCCAGTTATTACTTCGAAACTAAATATCTTCTCCGAATTGTATACCTTACCGTTAAAATCAAAGAAAATCAAAATGTCACCTTTTCGATGCCCAATGCTGAATCTGCAGCAAATCCTTCGCCCTGAAAATGCCTTGGCAAATCATGGTAGTAGTATCCTGATCTTGCAATCTCTTATTCCCTATTACTCAATTTTCCGAGATACAAAGCGCACCCCTGTATAGAGCGTAAAGGAAGAAAAAAAAACAGAATGTGTCGCTCGTAACAGGTCCAGCCCTCCTAACCTACGACGGCTCTGGAAGAGCCTGCCATTGCAATACTTGGTACCAAAACTTTCAAAGCGAAAGAACATACATGTAATGAGTCCTGAAGAGGGCGTGATTAGCTGACTGCTTGAAAATTTCTTTGCAATGATTCCAGAGGGCTTCCGCTTCGAGCAAACGCTGAAAAATGCCAGAAATCACGGTTTCAGCAAAGGAAAAAAACACCTTTTAGTGCCTGATTACTTCTGCCAAACGAGGTCGTTACCTACCCGGCCAAACGCCTTCCCCACCCTAGCGTTCCCAATTGTCTATTTCCAATTCTGTTGTCTCGAACGCTTCTGATGAACCCAGTAATAACTGCGAACTACTCACCGTAGGTTTCGACGTGCGGAGCCTAGCTCATGCTGTGCCTGAGCTAGGGCTCCGCACGGCAGAACCTTCGGTGAGTAGTTCGCAGTCAACCGAGTTCTTCAGCAGCTTTCAGAACACGACTTCGAAAGAAGGCGTTTGGTACGTAAGAATTAAAAGCTTCGAGCCACATTCAGGCATCTGAAGAAGACGAGAAGGTCGAAACGTCAACCTCCTTTGGCAGAGGTAATCAAGCATTCGACATCATGCTGAGATTACAAGAAGGTGCAACATGGACATTAATCTTATTTAAGTTTCCTAAGCTTCGCAAAATGCAAGAGACAGACCATTGCTCCTGCATTAGGGACATATTCGACTTTTGGCTGGAAAGATAATGCCATATACTTCAGAGACTGATGCCCTTCGGAACAAAGTGGGGCTGGATGAGATCGCACCAAGATATTCGATCCAATAATCGAGAATATTGAATATGTTTTACCTAAAAAACAAGAAAAAATAGAAAAAGTGGGCTAGGAACCTCACTCAGTCCCATCTCAAAGACAAACTGGACTCCCACCTCTGAGCTGAGAGGCGAGTGTTTGCAAATAAAGTAGCGTGCCACTTTCTGTGCAAAGTGCACGGAAACAGGAGTTATCGGGTAGTAGCAATACAAGGGTATCGTTTCCGTACTCCACCGATAATATCCCCAATGTACAGCCCTAGGTCTATACTGACCAGGGATGGTCAACAGTTCGGTCTGGCCTTTTGCATTGAGGTGCACATCCTTGTAAGCGACTTGAGACGATGAGCTCATACCTACGTTTGGAAGTTGCGAAAAGGTTCCCTCAACGGAGTTATTGGAGTTTTTCCTCACACTTTTTCCTCAAAGGCGCGCTAGTGCCCAAGGGCTGGCGCTCGCTGGCGCGGAAGGGCTGGCACCTGTAGCGCGCGAAATAAATAACTTCAAACAAAGTGGGATGCAATATTCATGATCAGGAGGTCAACTAACCCCAGCAGTTGCAGTCTAGCAGAATCTGAGATTCTGTCTTAACTTCGAGAAAAGTTGGGTCGGGTTGGTTTCTTCGGTCAGAGTACCGTTTCGCAATAGAAGGTAAGTTTGAGTCTACCGCCTTGAGACGCGCACAGCGGTGTGCACCTCATTGCAAATGGTCGGACTGACTTGCTGACCTTCCCTGGTGATATCCACCAGCAAACCTTACACACAGCGGTACAAAAGAACCAGAAATGAGAGGGCACAGACAAAAAGCGTGTTAGGATATTGCTGAGCGTGTGGCTGACAGTATCCGTTATCGTGCAATCTTGACAGGAGAAGGTGGCACGCTACTACTAGCGGCACGTAGCGGACCCAGTTTCTTCACTCGGCAAGATTCAGGATCCGTGAAAGTGAGTGTACAGTTCGCCTTCGAATAAAGAGGTATAAAACGAGCGGCGTTGAATAAAACAGCCATATAATCTTTTCAACTTGGATAAAAGAAAGAAAGTTTACATTCAAGATACACCCACCATTGTCTGAAAGAATGGATGTATTAGAAGCTCCAGTATGGCTTGAGAGCGTTTCAAGAGAAGGGAGTATAGAGTCAAGAGGATCGCAGAAGCCGCTTAAAAGAACAATAACAGAGGTTCTGTTCAACGTTCTAATGCAGTTCTCTAAACAGACCTTTGTGTTTCACCTGAGTCTGTCTTCAGTTTCTTGGTCAATAGCTCGCTCGGTTCAACATTCACTTCGGCTGTAAGTGATCAATGAAAGAAAGTCATTGAATGGTTATGGTACGGAGAAACCGCAGTACCTTTTTTCGAAACATATGCTGACTTCAGCAAATATTTTACGAACTGTCTCTGAACGGCTACTGGTTCCACTGCACCAAGAATGCGTGGTTTACCAAGAACGGCGATATTTGTCGTTGTTCCTGAGAAATGTTAAAGAAAATAAAAGTACAATGCTATTCGGAGACAAAAGTAGTTTGGGGTGCCAAGTGGGGGAGAAGGACAAAACTATCGTAATTGCTGCGCCATGCCGCGCGGCGTATCGCGCGGTTATGCACGGCAGGCTCTCGTAAGCATCTGTTAGTCGACTGGAGCAGCAAATCTCATGAGAATTTAAATAAAGACAAGATTCCACGACGGCGATACCGGACCACCCCCCCCCTTGGCACCTACTTTCTAACGGACAGTAGGAAAGCTCGTCCTAGCATGCGCGGCGTCGCCCGCCAAGCCCATCAGCGCGATATATTATGCTTGTCTCGTCACATACCAGCCAAGTGGTGGTGTAATGCAATGTATTCACCGTGTCGAATTATGTCTTGGCTTTGCCTTGTTTTCTCCTGCCATCTTTTCAAAACATTGCAAATGCCGTAGAAGGGCCCGGCCCCCCCCCCCCCTCCCCAACTACCTTTGCCCTCAATTTCTTCGATGATAATAATAATCCTT